TCCTGGCTAGTGTCAATTGATCTTGAATGGGCGGAACATGTGATATATAAGTTTTAAAACTGTAAAACAAGATGCTAGCTTCGTGAAGTCGTTATTTTGCTCTCGATTTGAAGACGATATAAGACACAGGCAAAAATTTATTTTAAAAAAGAATTTTTAATGTAAAATGGAACGGAATCTAGTAAAATCCGTAATTAATGTTGTTTATTACATTAAATTTATATTTTATTTGTTTTAATCGATGTATATTGCAAGCTACATATAAATGAAGGCACAGTATAATATAAACCTAACGTTTTTATACCTCAACATGATAAATGGAAGATTGCATTTTCTTAAAAAAGTTCATTCATAATAAAATTAGCCTCCAGCTGACAACTCTTTAAGCCGTGTTGTTGTAGAGGATTGAAGTATAAGGAAGCATGAAGTTGAGTTGCAATAAAACTTTCCTGTTCTTGGCAGAATTATAGTGAACGGAAAATAAAAGACACAAGAAGAAATCTGGGAGTAAGGTATTAAGATTGATAAAAGAATGAGCGGTACAAGAGAACAGGAGAACGCTCGGAGGGCAAAGTTCTGTCTTGGTATAAAAAAGAAGAGAATTTGCAAAGCTCTTGGTAAGACTAAAAACTTTCAGCCATTCTAGAGTTTCAAAACAAGCGAAGTTAGCGAATGCTAAGCAACTGTGCTTCAGACGAGGATAGAACGACAAACCCGGTTATGAATATGGTTAAAAGAAATGCAGAAATTGTCACATGAAGTTTAACAACGGTCGCCGTGAAACATTTACTAATAAGCTGCTTAAAAACTTATAAGTATGATATACCGAAAGTAATACATCGTGTGCTCAATGCCATCGAATGAAATTGTTTATTGTAAATGTCCGTCATAAGTGAAAATGACTTTTTCTGGGTTTTTGCGCCGTGTAGTCGACATTGAAGAGCGTTAAGCTTTATACTTCGTTGTTTTGCCACTTGGTATTCATTGAATGGGACGCTCTTGTATCCAGAACTGGTATAAACTCCATTAAGCAGAGTCTTACTCTCAACTCATCAATAAATTACCCATATTTTATGAAACCCGAGGTCTCATTGCCGTGTTCACAGAATCCGCCAGTGGTTCCTATCCAAGTTAATGTAATCCACATCCCAAAATCTATTTCCCAAATAGGTATTTTAATATTATCCTCAAATCAAAGCCCTGGTCCTCCGAAAGATCTCTTACCTTCAGGCTTCCCAATCAAAATTCCGTACGAATTTACCATCTCTTCTCATCCTTCATTTAATCATCCCGATAATATTTGTTGAAAAGTAAACAACTTTTGAGGTCCTTTTTATGGAGTTTTCACCAACCCTTCCTTAATCCCTTTGTAATTTTATTATTTTATATAGTTCTTTTTCCATCTTCACTTAATTAAAAAATACTGAGACGGTAAATACATCGTGTTAGATTCACATACAGGAATACCTCGGAGATATTGCGGATTCGGTTCCAGACCACCGCAATAAAGCGAGCCACACAAATGTTTTGGTTTCCAAGTGCATATAAAAGTTATGTTTACACTATACTGTAGTCTATTAAGTGTGCAATAGCATCATGTCTATTTACCGAATGCATTCTTCACTGATCTTTACGTTATATCACTACAAAGTTTATATATATATATATATATATATATATATATATAAAAACACAAAACAAACGACAACAACCCCCCCGCAATAAAACGAAACGCAATAAAACGAGGTATGCCTGTATACGAATAATGAAAGAAAATTAAGGAACAAAATGTATTCGAAATTACCAAACATTTTACTGCACTCAAGCCAAATGTTTGCACGAAGCAATTTTGAAACAGAATAACTACGTACGGATAATATCAAAGGCATACGTGCGTCATTATTTCAATGTATGGTTTTAGACCTAAACAAAGCGAACGGTTCAGTACACCCAGTATTTGAAAAGCGACCATGTTTGCTTCAAAATCGGTCGCCTGTTTTCGAAATTCAATAAAGACTTGTATCGGCGTAGGTTAGTAGCTGCAAAGCTGTGATATAGACGCACGCTATTCAGTGGATTCAAGCAGTACGAAGGGAACTGTGTCGCCTGAGCTAATCATTCGTTTCCCTTTGCCTTCTAATATCCGTCTACACCCCATTCATCGCATTTCTCTATGGAGCTGGAAACAGCACTAATTCATCGATAAACCTTCTCTCAAATTATGTATTATCCTCGATAATCTAATTTCAAATGTTACCGTATATGCTTCAGGTATTAACCTTTTAAATTATAGTGGTAACTATATGCACCACCTGATTTAACAAACAGTAATTTCTATCGTTTTACCCACAAAGTGTATTATATGATTCTGTTAGTAAACATCAATTATATCCTTCAAAAACATTAACCAAACGTTAAAATCGGCGAATATAGTCTATAAAGACGAATGAATAAAATTCAAGGAATATATTTACCAACTAGGAGACTATCAGCTTCTGAAGGAAGACACCGTATGTTATTCATTACACAGTAGCAATTTTCTGAATATTTATATCGAAATTATGAATTTTTTTGATTGTGAAAATATTTCTGCCATGTGCCTCGTTGTAGCAAAAGCTGTTGCAGTCTGACTGGAAGAATTCTTGTCGCATTTTTCTCTGCGTTGTTCATTTGTTTTGTTTATCAGGACTTTGTAAATCTGTACTCCTCCCCCAGTATTGTCAGGGTGATTAAGTCGAGAAGAATGAGATGGGTGGGGCATGTAGCGCGCATGGATGGGACAAGAGGTGTGCACCGGGTACTGGTTGGGAAGCCTGAGGGGAAGAGACTGCTGGGGAGACCTAGACGTAGATGGGAGGATAATCTCAGGCGGGATCTATGGGAGATAGGAGTTGAAGGAGACTGGATTTTGTTGGCCCAGGACAGGGTCCGGTGGAAGGCTTTGGTTAATTCGGTGATGAACCTTCGGGTTCGGTAAGCCATCTAGTTAGTTAGTTTATCAGGACTTTGTGTCGTGTTCGATTGACTCCCCCCACCCTGTCACTCGAGCGCTCTCTATAACCATGCTCCAAAAGTTCAGAGAGCAGGATATTACATCGGGACATGAAACTGTGACAGAAACAGACAGCCATAAAATTTGTTTTTCGTCGTCTTCTGGGCTTTTGTGGTTGTATTATATTGTAGGTGGCTCTCAGCTTTAATTTCTGTGTACGTATCTCTATTTACCCATTATACATTTACTACCTGAGTATATTAACCATATTCACCCACACTAAAGTCACATTGAGCATGATGTATATATACAGAACAACATCGAGTGTGTTATTAAAAATGGAATAAAAATCTGAAAAAGAACATCATTTGACATCTGGTAAAAATCTGATAAAAATGTACGCTAGCATAAATGTATGAAAATTGTATTTTGAATTATTTATCGTTTTGAAGCTTTATATAATTATATACACCTGAGGATGGTTCTTTTAGGAACTGAAACATGAAAAATGATGGTCTAATGTAAATCGAATATTTCGATAAAGAACATCATTTAATATTTTAAATATTTTAAAATGTTAATTATTGTAATATTTTAATATTTAATAAGAATTATTGTGATTAGACGGACAAGATTTAATATATACATATTCGGAAAGTGTCCTACAGTTTTCGTCTCTCCCATTTGTCTGTCGTTGGCTGCAGTTTCTAAATTCTTATTACAATGCTTCAGTTGTATTCATGGTATGGTCTGAAATGTGGCTCAAATTCGTCTTGAGTAATACGGGACATCATGTACTTTGTGTGGGCGGCGTTCGTATATTTTCTTGGTTATATAGGCGATCCCGAGTATAGGCGGGCGTAGGACCACAGTTGCAAAGTTCTGTTCCATGTAGCGCCTTCGCCTTTAGCGTCATGGTAACCGCACAGGAAACGCCTGCATGATTCCAGACAAAGGAACGTCGTTTGTTTCGATGGAGTAAATTCTATTGCCCTTGCTTGCCCGACTTTACTCGTTTCTCGAAATGGGAGCAATGCTGTCGGACAGGACTTATTTCTGGCAACTTTCGAACAATTTGGCAGATTTTTATTAAATTTGGAACGAAGATGATGCAGTTTTCGTATTTTACAGTCGTTCTCAGCTGTTTTAACTTTGCTATGTCTTTGAGTGCTTTGTCAGTTCACCTTCAAATCTTCGTCATTATATTTCAGTTGAATAACAATCATCCGTTATCCGTCTCTTTGTTAGCCATAAAACATTCTCAGTTAAATCTGTTATCAGAATTTAACAAACCTACACGTCTGTTTCATCTGTGACGAGTGAAATATCTGATTTTTTCCCGCTTTTTCTCGGGTTCGATTCCCGGCGGTGCCCGAATTTATAACTTGTGTTGGGCAAGGCCGTGGTCTAGGCAACACGGAGTTTTCCTCCGTGGCATCCCAACAATTACTCCGTTCACACACAGAAGAAGGCAATGGCAAACCACTTCTGGATCATCTGCCAAGAACGTATATGAACAGGTCCCAGTCCGGGAAAAGGATGGAAGGATCCTGTTCATATGGACCTGTCGTCAGACAGAACACTAATAATAATAATATCCTGACCTGCTTTCCCAGATATGAGAGTCTGTTAACGCGAAACAAAGACTTTGAACTGCAGTTTTTGGGAAACTGATTAGAGCAACATAAAATTCTCCAACTGGTTTTTATTTTCGCTGTGTGAATGATCCGTCTCTTTGCTTGTCTTATGACTGTTTCAACTTGTGTTAGATAATATGACGTCATCACTCCAGTTGTAATGGATTGTTTGCCGACAACTGTTCACGATGTTCTTGTGGTTAAAGCGTCTGGCAGGTAGAACGTTGGTCTGTTTTGTGAATTGGGCCAACATTGACTTATAACATGACGGAAATTCCAACGTACCATGAGGGTCTTCTTGTCTACGATTGAAATGTTATCGTTAAAAATAATAAAGGTAGAATAAAACTCCTTTGAATCCTTATTTTCAGATAAGGCGCCTTCAGAAGCAACGTTTAGAGGATCGGAATATCTGTCCTATGACCTGAGCAAAACTGGAGGAGAACCTATTGTCAGCACTCAGGACGCCATTTCACTCAACTTCAAGACCAGGCAACCCAGCGGTTTGCTCTTCTATACAGGTAAGTGCCTTACTGAACTCGCTGCTTAACTCATATTTTCTTGGAACCCTCCAACCCAAAGCTGGGATATCAATGTACGCGTAAGTTTACTACGCGTAAGATTTTGACTCTGCTCGTTTCGGCCTGGTCCTTCCTGCCTTTATCATAATCTGATGGTTGGGACAGCAAGGACCTTTGAGAAGTTAGTAAACATCTACTATAGTAAATGGTGCTACAACCCAAAAGACTTCCATCTTCAAAACTATGGTACGTTTGTTAAAAATGTGAAAACAGAGACATCTTTACCACATTATGCTTCCAAAGATCCAGTAACTGGATTGAAGATTGAGAATAAAATTTGGTTTCTAAAACGTTTTCGTGACCAGTGAACGACTTTAAAATCCTTTAAAAATATCTCCCTGTACAGAGAAGACTAAATTCGGTCTTAGAAAGCTGCATGTGTAATTAGGTTTATTCAGGTTTCGAGAAGGTCAGTGGGTTAAATTATATCTTGACGACTGGGATTTAATTAATGTCATGGCTGATGGAAAAATAATATTTTCATTCTTAATTTTGTTTACAAACTTGTGTTGTTTTATTCGCTGAATTCCCCACACACTCCTAATTTCTTCAGACGTTTTGAGTGAATTTAAGTGACGTACACACTGAGACTCATGAAGAATGAGAATCAGTGTCTTTTGGTAAAGATTGACGCCTTCTATTCCTGCATTTATCCATAATTCCCCGGAAGCCATAAATCAATATGACACGCTGTGGTACTTGACGGACGTATGTCAGATTTCTGTGCGTCATGTCATGTTAGTGCTCTTTCCCCTTCAGGGAATGTAACATTTCCCTCCATCGAAATAAAATTTTGTGTACGCCTGACTAATTATCTGCATCAGAATAACATTAATTGAATCCTTGCCTACATTCATTTGGTTTCACATTCTAATACAAAGTATTAGATTAATGTAAGGCGTAACTTACTAAGTTTTGTATATAAAAGTGTAGGATTCACTTTCAGATATACAATACCCGTTGCGCCATGTTTGCGTTTGTAGTAAATCTGGAATTATGTAAACGTCTTCTGGGTGAGTAAATGTCTACCAGATTACACTGTGCGTCATCTTATAAGACGGCCATCTTCACATTCGTCGCTGCTAGAGCCTGAAATATGGATTAATTTGCCACACGGAAGGCCCCTCCCCACAAAGAGTGACTTTGCCGAACCCAGATTTCTACTTATCTTCTATTTTGACTTTGAATCCAGACTTGTCAACCGCGGGATTTAGTTTATCCACGAGTTTCTTTTATTATTATACACGTGAAAAGCATCGATGTCGTGCTCACCAATATTTATGATCCAGAGGTGGTTTGCCATTGCCTTCTTCTGTTTGTGAATGGAGTAATTGTTGGGATGCCATGGAGGAAAACTCCGTGTTGCCTAGACCACGGCCTTGCCCAACACAAGTTATAAATTCGGGCACCGCCGGGAATCGAACCCGAGACCCCAGGATTACAAGGCCAGCGTTCTAACCGCTAGGCCACCGTGGCGGTAGTGCTCACCAATATATCCACATTTAAATGTGCTAAACCCGGTTAATAACATCCAAAATCAGTTTCAAAGCGTCCAGTTTAAAACTACGTTGCTTTCTTTGGGACACATTTTGTATTTAATCTTATTGCGTATTTTGGTGAAGGAGCTAGGACTTAGGAAAAGTCAAGCGTGTTACAGATGCGTAAAGTAAACATAACACACGCATCTATTTCTCGAAAGAAAAATAAATACTGTGTCTACATTCCCTGCTTAGTTAAATGTATATAACGGGGAGGAATTTAATGTGAGACTCGCTCTTAATGTCTTCTCCTCAACCCCGTGTTACTCACGGGTGCCTGACAGCAGTGTGCACATCTGCATTCAGGACAGAGACCTACCGTTGATGCACCAGCTAACTTTTCTGACTCATGAATATTTCATGCAAGTCGAAAAGCCAGTCTGGGTTTGCTCCTGTGAGAAGCAGGGAGACATTTATAAAGGCTTTTAGCTTAAAGCAATGACTAGAACACGGAAAGTAAAAACGATGTATCAGGTGACTCGCGGTTCAGTCCTCTCGCTCTTCAAGGTTTTTAAAATATAAATCGGAACTTTGTTTAATGACGCTGTATGATTTACAAAATTGTTGTTGAGAAACGTCTATATTATTTTTAACGTTTCTTATTGAAATAGCAGTTAGTGTGAGGAAAACAAAATATTTTCGTATTAACATTCCTGCAAAAGAAAACTTAAACAGCCAACGGACTTCAGAGTCGTTCTTAAGAATCTGATAATCGCACGGTTGTTTAATAAATTCTTTTTTCGAACCCGGAGGCGCATTGCGCGTGTTTTGAATGGTCAGCCATCGGATTCTGTTCTTAACGACATGAGCATAATCCACAGCTTATCATTATGTTTCTTTAAAATCCAATTTAATATTATCTTTTCATGTATGCAGAGGTTTACCATATTTTATTGCTATATATAACTATATGTACATTTCTTATATTGGTCATTCTTGGTTGATTTTACCGCGTCTGTAATATATGATGAAGCTATTGGCCGAATTTCTTAATTAACTAATGGTTATGGATAAATATCGAAAGCATATGACACAAAACGTGGTAGTTAGCATATTAGATAATGTTACACGTAATCTCGGATTTTTTGAAAGGGTTCTTGAGATGAATCTGCTGTTTCCATAAAAGACAGACAATCTTTTGGTCATCTATGTCGTGAGGAAAAACTCTGCATACTGGGAATGTTAGTAATAATGGTAAAATTAATGCACTAATGAAATTTTACTGGTCACTGTTTTGCATAAATGAAAACTTCATTATCGCTGTCATTTTGATGAATGAATAATTCCGAAATTAATCGAAACGGGATAAATGTGACTAACAAATACAAATGAGTCTGCGGTGTTACCAGCAAATCTGAGACTCGTTAATCTGTAAATGATCAGCAAATTTTTCTCGCTTAATATCCACAGAGAGTAATTAATGACGTTAAATTTGCTGCAGTGCACGTAATTATATTCTGGCTGTTTGTGGTTATGTGCTGAGTAATGACCCATTTTAGTGATAGCATTTAAATTAAAACTACTGTTATTTGCGGCATAATATTAAAATTTCTTTAGTATTACTCGCGTGTTATGACTCTTCTAATATTTTAAATGTATGTGATTAATATGAAGCTTTCAGTTATTTCTAATTCGGTATAAAGCTCTACATAGTGATTTCGAGAAAACAGTTCAGAACTGATAATATGAACAGAACTGACAAGAATGTTTCTAAATTATTTTGTTTCAAGCAATAAATAATTTGGATACTGCCTAGGAAAAAAGAACTTACATATGATTAAAATAATATAATCCCTATTGGCCGCAAATACGTTATATTTATTTAAAAAGAATACGTATCCCGGGCACGTTGTTGAACTTTGAACCAATTAAGTGTGAGCTTTAACAGTGAGAATGTTTTGCCGGTGTGCCGCTAGGATTAACACGTGCGGCAACCGACGCATTGAATGCGCAAAGCGGAAAGTCCGAACTGTGCCGCCAGCAAAGCGATAAGATATGTGATATCTACCGCGTTGATGGAGGCGGAAACACTTACCGAAACATTAGATTAGAATCTGCGCTTTTCCAGTAAAAGAATTATGGATATACACGTTATTGCATCTCTGCTACCCATTAGCATAGCCTTTTATCTGCTGAATGAATGTTAAATCATTGATAGACAAAACATTATAAACACGTTTGGAAATTATGTTCCAAATTTAAGTACACTTGCTTTTCGTGTCCATTAGAACGTTAGTCAAAAGGATGTAATTCTAATTATAATAAAATTTCCTTATTTTGTTTTATCTTGCATTTTATGATATGTTAAAACATCGAACTCTCTGTACATTATCCGTCGTCTTGATTTGTGTTTAAAAATACGACGTTTCGGAGACTGGACCCTTGTCTCCGTCCTCAGTTTTTGCTCTATTGGGCCCAATCGATAATTTTATCAAGACGATAGATAATGTCCAGAAATTTCGTCGTTTTAAAAATACGCTATCGTCATAAACCTCCAGATTTAGTTTGCGTTATGATATGTATTAAATATTGATATTGCTTGATTATATTAAATCCAACCATGAAAGTTAAATAAAGGCACTTCAGGCAAAAACAATCTGCTTCAAAATTTATCCCAGTGTAACTTCATGGAACACTGACAGAAACAAACTCAGGCCGTCTCATCTAACGGGGAAATATAACTTTAAGAAAATCAACAAAACACGCACAAAAAGGCAACACAAACTTTCGACGGATTACGTCAACAGTTTGATGCCTGAAGGCAAGAATATAAAGTTTGTATGATAAATAATATTTCCAAAAACAAGCCGCTTGTTCCTTAATCCCTCGACAGGGCACAAAATGTTATGGTGCTCTTATATCTGGCACTGCAAAGCGACTAAAATCTCACTTTATAAATTATGGTATGGTTGGGTCACAGGTGTGAATGACAATGCTGCTCTTCTGGGTTGTTTCGCAAGTAGTTGCCAAAGTTTCGGAGAAAGATGTCTCACCTTCAACCCTGAAAATGGACGCAGTATGTTCCTCCTAACTTTCATATATACCTGCGAGTCTACAGTACGTTACAACCCACAAAACGTCGTATTCACTGCCGTGAGAACATGAGATCAAAAGTACTCATGGTTGTTTTTGAGAAAACTATTGAAATATAATTTAATCTTTATGTTTATCATTGTTCATAATAGTCTGAAATGTACCAACATTAATATTACCAGCCGTAGTTCGGTTCAAAATAAACTGAATCTCGTATGAAGGGACTTTGGACAAGAAAGAACCTGACAAGTGGATAGTGGTAAAGGTTTCAGCAGTTGAGTCACTTTTAACTTCCTAAAAGTATTCTGTACTATACAGTTAGTTGCAAATAATGATAACAAGGACAACAATAAGAAATCTTCATAGCGTAGATAACTTAGAAAGAATCGCCCTGATGACGGAGGCAGTATGACCTCCGAAACGTTGGTAAACATCGACCAGACTACACAGCGCAACAACCCAGAAGACAGAAATCTTCATAGCGTAGATAACTTAGAAAGAATCGCCCTGATGACGGAGGCAGTATGACCTCCGAAACGTTGGTAAACATCGACCAGACTACACAGCGCAACAACCCAGAAGACAGAAATCTTCATAGCGTAGATAACTTAGAAAGAATCGCCCTGATGAAGGAGACAGTATGACCTCTGAAACGTTGGTAAACATCGACCAGACTACAATCTTACAATATGAATCTACTTATCTTCTAACAGGTGACGGTCAGGATTATCTAAACCTGGCGCTAAAGGATGGTGGCGTGACTCTGACGATGAATCTTGGCAATGGACGACTGGAGATACAGATCAAGCCCAATCGAGTGCGATTTGATGACAACCAATGGCACAAAGTCACCGTCCACAGAAAAGTTCAAGAGGTATTTGCTTTTATTTGATTATCTTACCTTAATAGATAGTATTCTGAATCTCAAAATGAAAGTTCTCGCCTTTGGCCGTGTTCAGTCGTACCGTAGATGTTGGCCTTCTGGGTTGTAACACCGTGTGTGCTTCAGCCCTGAAGATTGAGGCATTGCGTCCCCGCTTACAAATCTACACGGTGTCATGCCCCATAAGACCACCATCGATATCTTCACCGCAGTGAGAATGGCAGAACTCAGTGTCTTGTGACGGATTTTTACAGGTCAGACCCCAAATTTTAGATATCGTGTTCTGATTTTCCATTTTTGCATTGTTTAACCCATCAATTTGAATTTGTCACAGAAAAAATTAATGGAATGTACCACCACCACCTCGGCAGTTCAAATATGAAGTTGCCACATTGATACACATCAACTTTTTTATCTGTTAATTTCACAGCCGAGTTACTTATCTCTGAAATCCGATCACAGACTCTGACGTTGACAAATCTGCCTGTTATGTTGCCCAAAGTAATAAGCCAAAACCCTTTGACTTTTTGCGAGGGAGATTTTGCTGGTGGGAGTCAAACTTGGCGTGTCGCCGATATAATTTCCATTTCATTTCAAATCTTTGCGTGTGACCTCATACTATGAACTACCATTAGCTTAGGGAGCTACATATGAAAAGAGATTCCTATACACTAATTTTTACACATTGGAATTTTCAGAGTGGCACGCAAATGATTTTAATCCGTGCATCATATCCAAGAGGGCTCTCAGGTTGAGACTGAACGCGTAATGATTTGTATATTTAACACGGCTTCATTCCGGGTGTACTGTTTTATACGTACATTCAGCACCGGACTTTCATTCTTACATTTTTCTCATTAATACTGTGGGATGAGTAAGCTTTTAACTGTA